ACGTATTACACATGTTATAAGGTGTAGTCCTAAGTAATGTTAAGTAGTATACAAAGAAAAAACCATACATTATATTTGCATAGGTTATACCCATTGCATGTTAGTAAAAAGGTCATCTTTCAACCTTTGTCTTTTTAATAATTTTACATGTATGTATCTACATTATATAAATTACATAAGTTATCTTACATACTAATATTTTGTATTTGTTTATTTAGTTGGATATTGTTTGTTATGTTTTTTGGTTCTTAATGGATAGTGGTGTTTCATTTTGAATTCATGTTTTGAAGCGAGAGAAAGTTAACACGATAAAGGATAACATGAAGTAATCATGGAAGATGTTTTTTTTGAAAGAAATCATGGAAGATGTTATGATCCCATATTGGTCAAATGTAAGTTTAGTTGGTTGCTTGGAAGTCTAGGTGTCTAGTCATCTTACAATTTGGATTTTGTGAACGACTTCTACACGTAGGCTTATGCCTAGTATGTGATGGGTATTTATCAATTGGTATTAGGGTGTAATCAAGCAAGGTCGAGTAGAGTACTAAACCGAGTTGATTTCAAATATTTTTCAAATTAGCCTCGATTATCTCACGAGTAGTCTCAACTCGGTTACACCCGTAATTGGTATAAGAGAAATGAACCCAAACTTCGTTATTGTGGATAGAAGAAAAAAAATGGAAAGTGTTGCATTCTTCCATGGAAGAGATACAACTCAATCATTCCATGGTAGAGATGCAAAAACACACGAATAACTATTCTTCATTTGATGAGGAAGTAGTATCTTCGGTAGATTCCGGCCACTTATCTCCACCACCACCTCTGCCCAATTTGGAAGAAAAGAATGGTGGAACAAATATTATTGGAGAAGCAGACGATGACACAAATGTAAGGTGCGTTCATTTTGTAACAACCCGAAGTTCGTACCATTGCCGAAACCCGTTTCCATCTATAAATTCGTCCTTTTCAAATCATTTCCGTTTACATTTTTAAAATTAAGTCATTTATTTCGAGACTTCTATTATGAATTAATTAGTATCCAAACCCATTAGAAACTTAAGTAAACACCCAATATGATAATTAGATAAATTTTAGAATTTGTCCCACCGGGTTAGGACAACTTAATCGGGTGCGACCAAAAGCTCCGTTTAACGTCGATATCGGGTAGAATTCTACCGTGTCCCAAACCCGAACCATATATAAAGTGGTTTAAGCTTCATTTGAAGCCTTTTCACTCTCTCTCTAACCTCTCTCCTCAAATCCATACTTTAAGTCCAAAAATCATTGAATTCAAGCCCCAAATCTTCAAGGTAACCTCCTTAACTTGTTGTACAACCTTTCTAGCTTCCAAATCCGAGTTCAAATCATGATTTAGGACCATATTCATGAGTTTAAGGCCCTAGAACAGTCCTAGGCCGTGAACTCACATAAAATGGGTTTTGGAGCCCAAAAACCATTCCAAACCACATTAGGAGCTTAGATATAACTTAGGGGCTTACCAAAATGGACTTAGAACACCTTGAACTTAACTTTTGGAGAGTAAACATGAGTTTACTGCCCAAGAACATGCTTGGGCCGTAAACTCCATATGATGGGGGAGTAAACTCATTTTAAAGTGTTAAAATGCCATTTAAACACACCAATAGCCTTGGAATAAAGTCTAGAAGCAACCACAAACGTGTTAGAGGCCTTAAACTTAATGAAAACCCCTCCCTTAGGAGTTCACGGCCGTATACCCCCCAAGGATGGGTTCCTGGGCCGTAAAATCCTATAACATAATTAAATGTGCCCAAAATTCCATCCAAGGCTTGTAAAATGAGTTTAAATCACATGTGATTGTTCTAACACCACCAAAACACATAAGGAATGGGTATGGGGTAGCTTACGTCCGTAAACACCTAGTTTACTGCCGTAAACTCCATTAAATGGTCCATAAATGAGTTAAATCCATTCCTATGCCCTAGATTTGATCCTAGCTAATTTTCCCAAGTCATATAAGGCCATTTAGCACCATAAAACCCCTTACCCATGAGTTCACGGCCGTGAACTCATGTGGAGTTGGTCTTAGGGCCGAAAAATCCATAAGGAGTTTACTCTTGAAGAGTAAACACATTATCCAAGCCATACACGACCTTAGATGTCACCCGGGTCACTCCAAACACTTGATTTGAAGTGTTTTCGCGTTTTGGAGTGTATAATCGTATCTAATTAGTGATTTAAAGTCTAATTAGATACATTTGTATATCATTTCATATTACATAGGAACCTCGCACGTTATCAAGCCCATAACCGACACTTAGCATCCAATCTGACACGTTTCTCGACTGGTGAGTTCATACCCCTACCCTTTTTCAAATGTTTTTCAAATGTTTTCAGGGGGGGAATACAAGCAAAAGTACAAGGAAATCTTGTACTCAAACTTATTGTTTTCAGTTGAAATGTCTATATTCTGTATGTTTTTAATATCGAAAATTGTGTTAAATAAAATAGTTCGAATTACGAAGTTAGCTTTCAGATTAATCATAGATTTCTTGATAAAGTGTTACGATCTAAATTATATTTCATAATCTACGAATAATTCATACTAATCATCAATTAGAACTAATACGAATCCGAATACGAATGCGAAAACGAATACGAATAGGAATAGAATTAGGATTAGGATTAGGAATACGAATACGAATGCGAATACGAATACGAATACGAATACGAATACGAATACGAATAGGATTAGGATTAGGAATACGAATGCGAATGCGAATACTAATACGAATACGAATAGGATTAGGAATAGGACTAGGAATACGAATACGAATGCGAATACAAATACGAATACGAATAGGATTAGGAATAGGACTAGGAATACGAATAAGAATGCGAATACGAATACGGATACAAATAGGATTAGGAATAGGACTAGGAATACGAATACGAATGCGAATACGAATACGAATACGAATACGAATAGGATTAGGAATATGACTAGGAATACGAATACGAATGCGAATACGAATGCGAATACGAATGCGAATACGAATACGAATACGAATACGAATACGAATAGGATTAGGAATAGGACTAGGAATACGAATACGAATACAAATGCGAAAACGAATGCGAATACGAATGCGAATACGAATACGAATACGAATACGAATAGGATTAGGAATAGGATTAGGAATACGAATACGAATGCGAATACGAATACGAATAGGAATACAAACATAAATATGAATACAAATACAAATATAAAATACGAAAATTAATATGATTAAGAACAGAAATACGAATACGAAGGCACGCATCTATGTACATTCAAGTGTAACACAAATAGGATATCAGAATACCTAGCTAATATGACAAGTCTGATAGATAATCAAACATTACATTGAGATTCAATAACTAAACTTACTTTTAGGAAAATATAGGATTTTCCTGGGATAACAATTAAACATAACCAAATTCATGTAATAAAACATTTAATCAAACGTTACATATAAGAAAATATGGGATTTTCTTGGATAACAAACTCTTTTGGAAAACCAAAGGGAATTTGTACATTTTCAGAAAACAAATATCTTATGAACTCACCAGCTTTATGCTGATTTTCAAACTGCTTGTATTCTCAGGTCCATTTTAGACAGGTGCCTACGATCTTTTGGAGAAGACGGAGCGTACAGAAGACTCGTCTTAACTTTTGTTCATATGATATATGTATAACACTTGTAACACTTTACTTTTGAACACATGTAAATTCTAATATGTAATGTAATGGTTGTTTACTTTGCTTACTATGTGCATTGGATTTGATACTCAACGTGGAGTCCACCCCAGAACGTTTCCGCCTTCGGTTTCGGGGTGTGAAACATTGTATGGTACCAACCCAAAAAGATGGATTCATGAGGTGGAAAGGCTATTCTCTTTGTATAAAGATGAAGAAACATAAGCTTCACTCATAGATTAATCTTTCAAAAATATCCAAATGGTTACAAGATATTATAGTTTGGTTGATTGGAAAAAGCCATTCCTACAAGGAATAAATTCCAGAATTTGACTATGATGAATAAACTGTTGGTGATTTTATATAACTAGTATTATTTAAGTGTAATGGGGTTAATTTATTGATCAATATCACTTTGATAAATATCGAACATATTAGTATGGTGTGGAATGCACATTTGTTTAATTTTGTCATTGTTGAAAGTATACTGCTATTTAGAGGCGAAGCCCCTAAACTGACGGGGGTCAGGGGGCAGCACCCCTGGGAGCAGGGTCTAAGAGGCAGAGCCCCTGGCTGTCAAGTCAGTGTGATTTTTTTTTATATTAGTTATGTTACTATATAAAAAATGTCTCAGAAATCTGTATTGTTTGTAAAAACACCCAGTTTTGTGATCCATTTATAGGCCCGATTTTATGTTAGTTTTACGACAAATAATATGATTGTTTTTGGACAGGAAGTTGTTTTCCTGTAACTGCCATATGTCAGGAAGTTAGTTTCTGTTATATGATCAATTTCGGATTTATTTTGGGTACAAATTTCATAACATCTTCTTTATTTTCCATTTCTAGAAAAACAATGAGTTTCATCCGATTAGAGATTTTGAGTGTATCCTCGAAATGCTTTAATCTGAAAGTGTTTCACAACTCTTATTTATCCAAGTTTATCTTTATCCCGTTTTTTTTTCTAACATAAACCCGACGCAAGGAATCATCTTGTTATAAATGAAAGGAAAGAAAAAAAAAACAAATTTAAACAAATGTTGTAAGTTTGTTCCACAATATGTTTTTTAAGCCACTATTTTCACATCTATTCGTGCCAAATGGGCCATAAGACTACAAATAATTATTTGGTAATTATTCAAAAGAAAGTTAATTTAGTCCTTAAACATAATTAACCTTTTTTCGGTAATTATTCAAAAGAACGTTGATAATTGAGTCCTTAAATTCAAAAGAAAGACGCTGAGATATCATTCCAATTTCATGATTAAAACATAACAATCAAGCATAATTCATCCTTAAATTCACAAGCACACAGCACCACTATAAACAAATGCCTCCTACAAGATTCCAAATCATAAAACACCAGCCAAAACTAACACCAAATCATCGGCTTTGTTTCCACGTCTTCTTCCTTGCCACCATGGACGAAATCCCACCAAACCCCAACTTCATTCTTTTCGCCGGAACTCCCTTCTCACCACAACCACCACCACCACCACCACAACCACCACCAAACCCCAACTTCGCTCTTTTTGCCTGAACTCTCTTTTCACCATTTCTCTTCTCCCCATTACCACTACCTTTCCCAATAATTTCTGCCAACGAAACCTTCCATCTCATACAACTCTTCTCCGGACGCTCTCCGGCCAAAAACAACTTCCGGCTCAATATCTGCCCTATCGACATCATCGGCCTCGCCACCACCACAGCATCAGAATCCAAATATGTTCCATTTCTAGTGGCCTCAACTCTTCTTAAAACCTCTTCAAGAATCCTCGTACAATGCTTTACGTCTTCAGTTGCTTCCTTTACCCTCTTCAAGATTTCGTTTTCCGATAACTCCACTCGTACCTCGTTGTTCCGATCGTCGGATCGGTGAATGCTGACTTCGGCTTTGACTTCTTTTTGCAGTTTGACTTTTAACTCTTCGAGGGTTTCTCGTTCTTCTGTTCCCGAATTGTTCTGCAAATGATCGAGCAATTGTTCGCTGCTAGTCTGCAATCGATTGAAAAGAATTGGAAAACGCAATAAGTCGAGAAAATAAATATGAAACATCATTACATAATCAAGCATGCATATTTAAATTTAATCAAGTAAAGTTACGAGAGAGATAAATATATATACCTGGGAAGGTTGAGTGGGGTTATGGGAGTGAGGTCTCCAGAAGCCGACTCCACCAAACCGGCTGACAGCCTCCATCACCGACGCAAACGGCGGCGACGTGTCCACATCCGTGGTCAATGAACCACCGGTATTCTCTTTCTGCTTCTGCTCCGAACCCATTTCAGTAAATTCACTCCCGGAATCAAAAGATACTCTATTCGTGGTGGAAGGACAAAATTTGAAGATATAATTGGAAGAAGAGGACCCTAAAATAGATGTAGAAAAAGGAAAAGTGGAGCTAACGGTTGGATTGTTCAGGAGAGAAACCCCACAAAGCTTTTGCCGGAGGAGGGAAATTATTTTGAAGACGTGTCTCTATCCTGGGCAAATGTTTTATGCAATAAGTTTTTACTTTTAATACCTTTAATTTCTGTAATAAAAAAGTAGTATTTTTGTTAAGTTTTTAAACTTTTTTATACTAGTTATCGATTTATCTTTTTATAAAAGAATATATTAGTTTTAACAAACAAAAACATAACTGAATGATAGTGAGGATTACGTTGTTCATGAAATCATAGTATTGGGTCCGACCCCTCTTCTACCAAATCCAAAAGATTTGGCTGGTGAAGGCGTAAGTGAAAGATGATGTGAAGTAGATGTGAACATTCTAACGAGTTTAAACCGGTTTTACAAAAAGGAAATAGATTGGATCTCACATTCTCACCGGTTTAAGATGTGGTTCCATTTTAAACCGCTTGTCTTGGATTCCTCCGTATTTTCAGGTGTTATGAGATCTCCTTTCAGTTTTAAGTCGAGTTAGTCCCGATCCAAAAACAGTATTAGAAAAAACCGGTTTGGTCAATGCGGCCGCTATTTTTTGAATCGTATGACTAATATATGGTCCTGTTTGGGTCTAGGTCTGATCTAGACTAGTGGCGGATCCAGGATCAATGTAAAGGGGTATTCCGATAAAAAAAAAATCATGTAATACATAGTAAGAAAAAAAATCTGGAAAAAATTACACTAAATTTTTTTTGACGGGTATCCCAGGCCACCCCTGGATACATAGTAGATCTGCCTATAGTCTAGACCTTTTTCAACGGCCATAAAATGCTAGTTAAAAAAAAACAAAAATTTACCCCATAAATCTCTCTCTCTCTCTCTCTCTCTCTCTCTCTCTCTCTCTCTCTCTCTCTCTCCAACAAACATAAAATGTCGGGAGGCCAAGGTGTTAGTTCTCATGTCGGTAGATCCAATCACACCAATTAAGGAAGTTCGCAAAGGAAACCAAAATCATACAACTAAAACAAAACAACAAAATTATTTGCTAAATTTATTGATAGGGGGGACACATTATTGTTGGTGATTTTATATCATCAAATATTATTTAAATATAATAGGATTAAATTTGTTGACCAAAAGTGATCTTGTTGAATATTGAACAAGTTAGGATGGTGTAGGAGTACACACTTGTTTAGGTTTTTCAAGATTTAAAGTACATTGCTATTTAGGGGCGAAGCCCCTAAACGAACGGGGATCCGGGGGCAGAGCCCCTGGCTGGGATCGAGCTGCCAGGTCAGTGCGAAATTTTTTTATTTGGACTATGTTGCTATATTAAAAATTGCATCAAAAATCCAATTTTAGAAAGTTGACCCTTTATTCCATGACATCCGTTTAATCACAGTTTGGTAGTTTTATGATAGTTTGTAACTGTCTGTTGACTGTTTTCAGACAGGATTGATATATCCGTTTTTTGGTCAATATTCTGGTACATGTTGAAGAACATTTTCATATACATTCTCAAATTTCATTCTCTGAATTTCATCCAATTGAGTGTTCGATTTGTACCATCGAAATACTTCAATTTGATAGTGAATCACGACTTTCAGAGAATCCAAGCAATCTATTCATCCATTTTTCTAACAATTATATCATGCTACAATATGTAACGACCAAATTTTACTTCCTTCAGCGACATTAGCTTTTTTTATTCGAATAAATGTTTTTGTAATTGATTTTGGTTTTACGGTTATATAATGAAATAAATTTTATAAAACTAGTGTTATTTAATATCTGAAAGAATTATACAATATATAAGGATTAACCAATAACTAAAAATAATATAAATATAACTGGTTATAAAGTTTTAAATGGAATTGAGAGAGCAACTTAAAATGTCAAACTATTAGAAGGGATGTTTAGAAGTAAACTACATAAGTTTTTTTTTTCTCCTAAAGAAAGTCGCATGTAACCCCAAGGGAATGCGATCGACTAGTTTAATGGCCCAAGCATTTCTGTCCCTTGGCCAATATGTGCGTTTTGAATACCACTTTCAATTGTAAGTGGGCTGTTGTGACAACCCAGAAAATACATTGCCAAATGTCGTTAGGAGCTAACACTGTCAAACAACACGTGTTTGGACCACTCACTAACCATTCAATATATGAATAAATATATTCGATTTTTGTCTTTACTTATGTCGACTAACGGGATAAAAATATAAGTGATTGTGTTTTTATTAATATACTAGTTTCTTGTAACACTCTAAATTTTCCAAAAAAAAAAAAATCATTTTTAAAACCACATAAATCACAATCTCACATTTCTCAAAACCCAAAAGTATAAATTGTTCAAAACGCAAGACAACAAAATGTTTGATAATATCCCAGAATCCTCAAAACATAATCTCAAGCTGGTGTGTATAATCATGCCGATTCCTCCCCGCGATCTTAAGATGTACCTGAACACATTTTACACAAACACGATAAGCACGAAGCTTCGTGAGTTCCCCAAAATACCACACACACAAATAATTAGCCTCTCATGGCTATACTCGATAGGGACTCTCCGGTCATATGTCTCAGTAAAGACCCTCCGGTCTCACAGCTCGGGTTGGACCTTCCAGTCCAGTATCTCAGTGAAGACCCTCCTGTCTCACAGCTTGATTTAGACCCTCTGGTCTTAACTCAATAAGGCACAAAATAATATACAACATAAATCACAAAGACAGAATGCATAATATATCACATTACTCAGTATAAGCACATAAGACCCTCCGGTCAATACTCAGATAAGACCCTTTGGTCTTATAATATTACCACTCAGGCAAGTATAATGAGAAGACTCACCTCGTACGTAAACAAGCACGTCTCGTACTCAACAATCGGTCTAGACTTCACCTACATGTCATAATCATCTCTAATTAACACTTTATAACCACAACTTTAAAGATATTAAGCTAACCCTTTTTCTAACCCTTAGAAAGGGTGAAAGACCATTTTACCACTCCATGGTCTCCATAATCCATACTTGACCAAACCCTAAAACTCAACGGATTTCAACACCTGAGTCAACAGTCCATGTTGACCCAACTCGTCGAGTGCATCTATGCGACTCGTCGAATTCCTTCATTTCTTCTGAAAAATCGGGAAAATCAAACTCAACTTGCCGAGTTGTCTCACCAACTCAACTTGCCGAGTTGTCTCACCAACTCGCCGAGTTTGTAACGGGTCCAGACTATTGGGGAAAACCCTAACCAACTCGTCAAGTCCCTTCAGTCCATTCTTTCATTCAGAAGTTTTTAAGCAGAACTAAGCCCCTACTCTGGATCTAGCCTTCTAAGGCTAAAATATCACGTAAATAAAACATCCCAAAAAATACGTCCAAAAATTCATTTTTAAATCATTAATAAAACCATAAATGTCATTATCATATAAAAGTCAATAACCATGTATCTCAAAATGTCATTACAACTGTCAACATATGAAAATCTCATATCAAATATCAGAGTAAATATCCTAGGCTAGAAACGGTGGTGTGTGTGCCATTTGAGTGATATTGGTGTGTTTTTGAAGCTTGTAGAAGAAGAAGATAGAGGGCTCAAGAGGGGAAGAGTAGATCTAGGAACTACAATCCATTTATTACATTTTCTGGTAATCAAGCTTCTACCTTGACTTGTGATTCAATAGATCTCTTTATGTGGGTTTTTAGTCCTAGATTGATAGCTTTTGGGAAAGGATCGACCCAAGTGGGTATTCTTCCAGATCTAGTGCCTAGAGGGGTTGTGATGACATAAAGGTGCAAACTTTATGCCATTAGAGCCCCCATGCAAGCTCTAAGGACGTCATTAAGGCCTTTTAAGCTCAAAGAGGCTATACATAGAAGCAAGCTCAAGACTTTACGTGTTCAATTGGTATCTAGGCCCTAGATCTAGGTTATCATGATTTGGTTTGGGATATTAAGGCTTTTTTAGACAAGATCTATGTCCTAAAAGAATTAGGGTTTTAGCTAAACCCTCCAAGAAGGGCTATCAACGAGTAAAGTTGGAAACTTTACCCCCAGAAATATCATTTCCAATGAATAAGCGATGTATGGACCTTGGATCTAGAAAACATGGGTTTGTTAAGATGGCCAAGCAGACAGAGGGACTCGTCGAGTCCATAAGGGAACTCGACGAGTCGGGTTGTGTTGTCCCATTCCAGTTTAAGGTGGAACTCAACGAGTCCGTAGAGGGACTCGGCGAGTTGATCCGCCAAGTCGCGACTAGGAAAACCTCGATATGACTCAATGAGTCGGAGGAACGACTCAGTGAGTTGAGTCACAATTCTAGGATTTTTGAGTTAAAGAGGTTGGCAAGTTGAAATGTTGACTCGGCGAATTGGTCAACCTAGAACGTTGACTTTGACCAGGGGTAAAATGGTCATTTTACCCTTAGAAATGATTTTTAGTTTTTGACTAAAAGTTTTGTAAATGTATAGTCGGGGAGTCGTTGGAGCAGCCATCAGAGATTCCTCACTCGAGATTTTAGCAGCCAGTTTGAGAGGAGTTTTCCTTCAGTAGGAACAGGTCGAAGGCACCAATACCGGCCCGTTTATGCATGTTAGTATATACTGGATTTAGGTTTGATGTCGGGGCTAGCCCGATGTAGAGTATGTATTCTGGACTTCAGTCTGATGCTGGGGCGGTCCTGAAAAGTGTATATGTATGCTTGATGTCTTTGTGATTCATGCATGTTATGTGTTATGTGTTCCGGGCAAGGCCGATGAATGTTAGCTTATATGTTATGTGTTATATGTTCAGGGCTTCGGTCTGATGCCGGGGCAAGCTCGATGTAGGTTATATACTTATGTTATATTCTTACGTTATGTGCTTATGATATATGATATGCTGTGTATATGTCGGGGTAAGCCCGATGCCGGGTGAGGCCCGATGCCAGATGAGGTCTGATGCTGGGGTAAGCCCGATGCCGGGTAGGAGTCCAATGTCGGGTTCGTCCTAATGTAGTTGGGTGGAGTCCTAAAGTTTATGTTATATTTTACATGTTATGTGTATGGTATGTGGTAGTTTGGGGGAGCTCACTAAGCTTCGTGCTTATGGTTTTCAGCTTTGGTTTCAGGTACTTCTGCTAGCAAAGGGAAGGACTTGAGATGATCGCATGACACATACCACCGTTTCTAGCCTGGGATATTTACTCTGATATTTGATATGAGATTTTGATATGTTGA